GAAAGACTTTAAAAGCACTAGAAAGGCAGAACAAATTTTGAAAAATGTCAATAATTATATGGGACAAAGGCGTGGAGACTTAGTTTGAATAGAACCAACGATGGACGCACACCAATATTTAGACATTAAAAAATCATTTAATAGTCAATGCTATGAACTTTAGGTTCATCAGGACACCAAGCTACATTTTATCATGATAATGATCCTAAGCAAAAGTTACATATAGTGCGGGAGAGGCTTCTTTATAACTGTGGTAAAGTTCTAGCTGGAAACAAAAAGAGAATTGGCAAATTGTAATCAATACGGCCATATATCCGCCAAATTGCCGAACAAATCTTCCAAGAAATCGTTTTCAAAGATAGATGGTGGGAACTCCGCAATGGGGGCGTTTACGATACGTAAATTGTTCAGCCCATATGTGTTCAAAAGAGGAATTGTTCAGGGATCGATATGAAGAAAGAAGTGAGGTAATCATAGCAAATTATTCTTTAACGTGGTTACTTTTAAAGATGTTTTTCACATTCCAGATTTGTATATAAATCTACTGTCAGTTTCAAAAATTGTTGAAAACGGATTCAAAGTTGTATTTGATGCAAAAGGCTGCAGAGCTATCAACAATTGTGGTGACGTTATTGTTACGGGAGATTTTGCGAAGGAATGTTTCGCATGCATTTTTGAAGTAACCGAGCAATGGTTTCACAATGTAAAATTAAAGAAGGCAATTTGCGGAAAAAGCGAATCGGTCATGTAAACAATGAAACATTGAAAAAAATGGCATTGAAGAAAATGGCATCAGATAAATATTCCATTAGTGGCTTTTATAGATGATTATTCGAGAAAAGTTTTTATATATTTTGTCAAACGGAAGTCTGAAGTTTTGTAGAAAATAAAACAGGAAGACATATTAAGTCGTTAAGAAGCGAGAACGGAACTAAATACTGCAATGAAATGATGAGACACAATTTTGTTGAAAATGGTATTTATCACCAAACTACGGTACCGCATTCGCCTCAGCTAAATGGTGTATCTGAATGAATGAACAGAATCTGCTTATCTATTTTGGGTGGCAAATACTGCAGTTCATGTAATTAATTAAAAAACAACGACGAAAATGCTTAATGAAATTTTTCCTTACGAAAATGCTTACTGAAATTTCTTCGGAGGAAGCATGGTCGGGTAAGAAGCACTGTTGAACGTACCTCAGAGTATTTTGATGTAAAGCAGTTTTCACATCCCTAAGCAAAACACCAAAGAAACTGGATGCAAAGGGAAAATAAGTTATATTTGTTGACAACAGCAATTCCAAAAAGACATATCGTTTCTTTGGTCCTAGTAGATACAGCATTGAATTAAGTAATGTAATGTTCCTAATTATGATCATGCAAATGATGATACATTGCAAGATACAAATTATCAATAAATAGAATTGAGACAAAGTGACAAAGAAAATTCAGAATACCATTCAAACGCAACGGATTGTTCAACTCGTCTTCCGATACGGGAATCGAAAAGACGAATAACATAAGAAGATCAGAAAGAAAGAAATTTTAAGACCAACAAGAATGCATAGTTATGTGTGTCATGCATCAAGTGGAAGGAAACATACAGCAAGAGTGGAAAAAGTCAAAAAATAAAACACGGGAAATATCTGAATTACCAACAGTAAAGGTATTCCTCAATACGTCTACATAAACTTGACATAGATCATATGGATGTAGTAACAGCTTTCCTAAAGAGTGACAGAAATAACATATGTGGCAATATATGTGGATGACATATTGTTTTTTTCGAATAATATTGAATCCAAACAAAAAGTTAAAAATTGTTTTCAAGAAATTTCAAAATAAAGTATATTGGTGTGGCAAGTTACATTCTGGATATAAGAATCACAAGAGATCGTAAAAATAGAAAACTATGGTGGGACCAGTAATTATACATAAGAGGTGTATTGAAAAAATTTAACAAGCAAGATGTCAATATAAAAATTAACAAAAGATATAAAATCTTCAAAAATGGACCATGAAGTACTTTATCAAGGTTCTGTCAGAAGTTCATCTTATGCTGCCGAAGTCAGTCGGCCCGATATATCGTATGCAGTGGAGGCACTGCCAAGGTATATAATGATCATGGAAATCAACACTAGGAAGCTGTCAAACGGGTAATGAAATAACTCAAAGGCGGAGTGGATTATAAACTTTTCAAAAGATGACACCAAATGTATAGAATGTTTTTCTGATGCTGACTGGGCAGTTGACCTTGATTATAGAATATATTTTCAAATTTCAAAAGACTGCATTTCATGAATTCGTTTTTAGAGTCTGCTAGTTACACTATAAATTTAACCTTTACGCCATGTGAAATTGCCGAAGTAAAAGAAATAATATTTTTAATGTTTTAAAACTAAAATTGATATGATTGTCTTCGCGGCAGCAAAAAACGTGGTAGTTAACTGAACCATATTTAAGCATCACGATACACACAAGGACACCTGGATTTCTCCTGAACAAGCAACGAGAAATCAAATTGATCATGTTGTGATAGAAGGAAGGCATTCATACAGTGTTTTAGATGTTCGATCGATAAGAGAAGTAAATATTGATTCCTAGTGCCAACCAAGGTTCGCACCCGTCTAAATGTAGCCGCAAAGGTGCGATCTAATGTAACACGAATGTAACCGAATACTCCGCTGAACTTACGCACTTGCTTGACGAAAGCACTCCTTGTCCCGATAATAATATAGAAGCACAATGGCAAAGAATTGCCCACTCCCTACAAACTGCAGCCAAAGCAACACTTGGGCACCAAAAACCTCTTTCAAGAAACCCGTGGTACGATCAGGAGTGTCGTAATGCTACTGAGGCGAAAAACGCAGCGTTTAAGGCAACCCTGCAGATAATAGCAACATGTAATGCGATGGAGAATTATCGGGAGAAAAGGAGAGAAGAGAAACGTATTTTCAGAAAAAAGAATAGAGAACAAGAAAAATGTACAGGAGTAAGAATGAAGTCCGGAAATTTTGCCAACGAGTAAAACACCAATCCAAAGGCTTTGTTTCACTTAACTCCTCCTGTAGAGATGAAGATGGGAATCTGGTGACAGATACAGATAGCGTGTCGAGGATCTGGAAGGAGCATTTTGAAAAGCTCCTGGTTTCAAATACAGGCGGTGAAGAAGATGCCCAAGATCCAATAATAGATGACGTGTAGAGTGTATACCACCTAGCCAAGATGAGGTCAGAGTAGCAATTAATCGGCTGAAGAACAGATGCTGGTCAGGAGCATGCACCGGCTGAGTGGCTTGAGTACAATTTGGCTAGAGGAATACATACCCAATGATTGGAACCTCAGAATCCTGTGTTCCGTACACAAAAAAGGAGACAAGATGATACCAACTATAGAAGAATAAGTATAAAGTGCTATCCAGCGTGCTGTGTGAACGACTTAAGCCAATGGTCAATGACATTATTTGACCATAACAATGTGGGTTCAGGACTGGCAAATCCACCATTGACCAGACTTTCACTCTGCGCCAGATTCTGTAAAGACACAACAAAAATACATCGACACATTCCAACTATTCGTCGACTATAAAGCCCCATTCGACAGCCCTAACCGTTCAGGACGCCATGTCTGCGTTTGGTATTTCTGCAAAATTAATACGGCTATGCAGGATAACTTTAACTGGCACAAGGTCAGCAAGGAGGATTCAGACAAGGTGACAGTTTGTCGTGTGACCTGTTTAACATCCTGCTGAAAAGGTCATACGAGATGCAAATGTGAACAGAAATGGCACTCTGTACACCAAACAGCATATGTTAGTCGCCTACGCCGACGACATCGACATAATGGCTGATATTACCCGTAGGGATCTGAAGCATGGGTACTTGCGCAAGCTGATGAGGCAGCTCTGAAAGTGTTTGAGAGAACAATTCTCCGGAAGATCTATGGGTCGATCTGTGTCGATGTGAATATCGCAGTCGAATGAACCATGAGCTATACCATCTGTTCTCTGACACCTACATAGTCAGACATATCGAGCTGCAGCGAATACGTTGGCTAGGCCATGTTGTGAGAATGGATCAGGATGCCATAAAAAAAACGAGACATAAAAAAACGAGCCAAGTGATGGTTCACGCTGGTTCAGTGGAGTTGAAAACGATCAAAAAATATACAATTTAATGACAAAGAGCTCCCACATCCTAGGATTAATATTAATGTCAGTGCAAAAATTTCAAAGCGCTACCTTTAATATTGCTATCTCTATCGTGATTTTAACAAACCATGTTACATTATCACCAAAAAGTTAAAATATTTTTTAAATCTTTTTCTTGGGTATTCACATTGCAAAAATGGGTTAAATTGTCATTTTCTTGGCAATTGTCCATTAACAATTATCTCATTTATGAAACGGAACGTATCTTAAATTCGATAACAAAAAAGGCCTGAATATAAAATTTATTATTTTTATGTGGTACGAATAACACGTTTTTGAAGACTGTCAAATATTTGGCTACATGTCGCATCAATACTCGCTGACGTACATATTACTATATGAAAAAAAAAAACAAATATTTTGCATCAAAATGGTCAGTTTTTATTATTTTTATGTTCTTTCTTAATACTATAGAAACATAAGTGGAGTAAGTGATCAAATGTATTTTATACAAATATTAATTCTTACTTGTACTATGTTATGCTAGACATGCACAATATGCGAATTGGATAGAGAACCTAAATAAATCATACATCTAATAATGTTTTTAGTTTTCACATTTGGAAATGTATAAAGGAATATCTAAGTATATACATGTTGTACGGGTATTCGTAATTTTTACAACGAAGACTGAACGGAAGATAAGAACGAATCGAAGCTTAAAGCTCTTCTGGAATATTCTTATTAATTGTTCTTTTTTCTTATGTGATATTAAAACGACGGCCGGGATTTGTATTGGGCATCACTCATTTGCATGTTGGATTTGTTGTCTTGATCTTGGGTTGGCTCTATTTTCGGCGACGAGTTTTGGAAGAAGATCCTTCTTCTGAGGTGCCATCAATTTCAATACACAAGTCATTGTTAGTATCAACAATCTGGTTTGACGTCGTTACATCAATACCCTTTACCGAAGATATGAGGAGCCTAAGTTGCATTAGTTGATGGGAAGTAACGCGTGGATTGCTGCATTTCTCAAGCCATTTCAAAAACTTCTCTCCGTACTTAATGGCATCTTTGCTGTCTGTGTCATTTTCATCTTCACAACCAGTATTGGTGCACTTGCCCCATTCCTCTTCGTCTCTTTTGTTCGCATTATTATTATTGTTATGCGTATTATAGTTGGCATCACTTGAATCATTTGTAAGATCTCCTCCATCACTTAGACGAGATGCTGATATGGACTTGTTGCTTATTTTATAAATGATGTCGTCTATGAACTCCTTACAATCAACCACTTTATTTTGTGAGAGTCTCGGTGAAACTGTGTCGGTAGTAAGAGGAGTGGCGACGTCCTGGCTAGAATCTGAACGAATTTTGTCCGATAATTGATCATCCTCGCGTAAGGGACACGGCTCTGGCGTTGAAACAGGTGTAGATGGTGGACTGGTCTTGAAGGTTTTTGCGGAAAGGTCCTCAGGCTTGTTAGAAATGTCTGCGTTATCCCCAGTGTTAACGTGCTCTTGTTCCACTGCAGATTCACTATTCGCTGAGCAATTGGATGTGGAGTCTTTTGTTAATTGTGAGTAAAGAATGTTTTCAAATCCATTCTTTGCCGTAGTCGCTTTATCACAGGTTTCGATGTTATTGGGCGAGTGAAGATTGTTCGGGTTTGCACTGCCTTGAAGAGCGGAGACTACGGCCGCAGGGTTAAGCGAGTTCAAATTCACACCAAACGCTTTGCACCAATTAAACCATGCTGCATTTTTATCATCTAAGCTCCCCGAAGGCGTTGACGATGGTGTTAATGTATTGGGTATAATGGGAGGTGTTCCGGCATTAAAAGATACCTGTTGAGGGGTAGAGGTCCGAATGGGAGAACTAGGTGCCCCTAAAACTGGGTTATGGGGATACATGTTATTAAAGCCCAAAATTGCTTGCTGTGATTTGAGCCAATATAAAAGAGGATCTTCTGATAAAGACGATAGCAAGGGCATAGTTGGCCCTAACTGCGACGCCGTAGGAATGTTTGCATTTTGACTCTTAGTTTGAACTTTTTCCTCACTCTGGCATAAATTGAGACCACATGTAGAGGAGTCGTTTGAAGTGGGGGTAGACGGATTTTGTTTCGCCCAATTTTTCACACTAATCCCAGCCGGCTTATCAGATGGTTCCCGGGGACTTGGTTGCTGTGATGGAGGTTTAGCCCTTAAATTAGGATTAATACCGTTAATACCTGAAATAGCTGCTAAGCTTGGGTTAAGTTGAGCCAATAGTGTCAAATTTGTAGTAAGCTCGTTGAAACTAATCGCCAATGGTGACTGATTTATTCCAGTAAGACCGGACAGATGCGTTAGGCTCGATAGTGGACTAACGGCGGACATTGATGTATCCGTCGCTCTGGAAATGTCAGCACTATATAAAGGCTTTTTAGATGAACCGTTGAAAGATCCGTAGTCCTGAGACATTCCGCTAAAGTTTCCCAATTCTGTAAGAGCCTTGTTATTACTGAAATCTAAACCGTTCAATTGCGCCCGCTTGAAGGAACTCAAATCATCATATTTTATTTTATTTGAAAAGTTCAAAGCCAATGAGGGATCTAAGCGTTGTCGTTTTTCTGGTGGGCCTCCCAACATGTTGGCCGTTCCATCGAGCTTCACATTTAAGGATTCGCTTCCGTATTTTTCCGCGGCGGCTTGGCGTGACATGAAACGTAATTTGTCTTCATTTTTGCACCAACCACGAAGGGTTGATTCAGGAACACCGATGTCACGTGCAACTGAAGCCTTCGATTCACCATCGTGTATGCGCTGAATTGCATGGACCTTGTCGCTTGGTGTCAAGCTTCTCAGGGGGCGCTTGCCCTTTGTGCTTATCCGTACGTTCATCTGTGGAAAGCTGGAAATGTCCAACTTTATTCCCTTGTCAAACAGCTTGAAACCTGGAAAGAGATACAAAGCTCGATTGTCAATATGCCCGATAAAGTATGTACTATGTAAATGCCTAAAACTAAGTATTTTTGTACACAATAGTTACCCCTGCTTCAGACAGAACTATGCCGAACGAGAAGTGCATCGAATTCTTATTCGTCAATGTCTTCAGCACTTGCTGCATATTTTTACTGTATGTACAGGGGTTGATTTCGGCGAAATAGATACATCACCGAAGTATTTTCATCCAATAACAACTTGCGACTCTGTTAAATATCCTCTAAAGTTTCGTCGCGTTTTCACGAAACGTTTATTATTCGTACATTTTGTAGTATATACGTCTGTGGCGATAATACATACACATTGTACCTATTTCAGTAGCGAATGTAAAAGAAACCCAACATGCCAACGAACAATTTGCATACTCATAAGAACCCAGGAGGGGTTTTAGACAGTATCGCATGCAAAGGAAAGAGCTAATTGGCGCTGTTATTCGTCAGGTTTCCCACCACCATTCTAACACCAGTGAAAACAACCATTTGTACGCACTCACTGTTCAACGATTATTCACGAATAAGCAACAAGCTGACACAAACGCGTATTTTCCACGTGCTACTTATTGCACTCCTTTACCTGAATGTCGCGGTGGTTGGGTGCTGCATTTATTGTTTCAAAAATATTCCGAACTAACATCCCTCCGATAAATTTAAACAGGTACATAAAGGAGCCTATCGCTTACGTTGTCCTCCATGTGTGTGAATGAATAGGAAAATCACTAGCTCCGCCTATATTTGAAATCCATATAACATGTTCTGTACAGTACAGAAACAAGTATTGCGCATGACAACACGTACCTGCTCATCTAAGAGTAACCAGTAACAATTAAGAGTAAACTGAAGAGTAATATACATTTCTGATTAACCGGTTTTAAATAAGAGAACTTAAACCAAGAATTGGTTATGGGGGTTTACTACTAAATTGAATATTTGGCACCTACATTAAAACAAAACACAATCCCATTAATACCAATCCAACAGTTAAGTATCATAGACTTGAACTAAAGCATACGAGTATCTAACGTAACGTAAATTTTTAAGTAAGTATTTCAATGTATTTCTGTCCCTGGATTAGTGGTCGAGAAATCGAAGTGTCCTTTCCACCTGTATTCCTGTGAACCATTTATGTATAATACATAATTAAGAAACGCGAATTTTAATCCAGAGTTAATCGGGGCCATAAATGCATATCACATTTCTTGCGAACTGTTCCAATACAAAATCCCGAAATTGGTGATTAACGTCGTAATCGCAGATATTATTTTGTGCTGCACACTTTCACATGTATTTTTGTTAAACACGTGCTATTTACATCATGTGCAAATATATAATTCATAACCATATAGTATGTACATCTGAATTCTGCTGAGTGGTAAACTGCTTAAAAAGTTGTTTTCAATCTAAGTTTCATTTTTTAACTTTCTCTTTCGTCCATCCCATTGTCTCCTTGTAGTAACGTTTTTTATTAACAATAAAATTATATTGCACGTTGGTGCAAGTTTGCCCTATATTTTGCGCAACAATTTTACATTACACATTCTAACACATCTGGTTTGGGTGCAAATGTATGTAGTATATAGAGACATACTTTATATGGGTATGTGTGCCGCTGCAGCAGTTCTTCGTGATTGTATTCTCCCCAATTACACATAATTTTATTACATGTTTACCGTTTATCAGTTAGACAGTCAATAAGAAGGGGGTATGGTTTATTACTATCGTCTGTGGCATTGCAGGCAGCCAGACATACATATGTATATATACATCCCCATATATATTCACATATAACATTGTGTTAACACAGAGAGTCTATCAAATAAAGGTCAACAGCAGTAACAATTTAATGTGAACAAATATTCCGCAAATAAAAAAATATAATCCAACAATTCTTTTCGTTACAATGCTTCTTGTCCAAGTTTTCGACAGCCGGCTTCTCCAGACTACTTTTTTTAAATTTTCTTCTAGGTTCTGTTTTATTTCCCTTTTTCGATGTATTTTTAATAGATTTAGGTTTCAAGGAGACAATGTGGTATCGAAAAAAACTAAGATATAGACTGGTCAACATCCTTACCACATACATACTTACTCGACACATATTGTATTTGTATATATAGTTTTTTATTTGTATCCATATGTGTGTATGATTGTATGTATACTTATACATTATATTAAAAAGAAAAAAGAAAAGAAAATAAGCACAGATGCCGGTCGAGACAATGCAATAAACGTGAACTTGACGATAATTCTTGAACTTGATATGTGCTTTGATTTAACACATGTATAGTTTCACACATGTACATGCATATATACGAGGAGGTCAGCTCATATATAAATGTATAAGTTCTGAAACATATACATGTATCACACAGAGTGTGAATGGTTTTCTCGTTTGCCCTATTTATAGTATTGGGTACGTGTGTGCAATGTATATGCGGGGGTGGTATGCGAGCAAATCAGCTGTTTGGCTTTGAAGTTTCATATTTTCAATACATACAAGTATATACCTATTTATGTGCAAATTAATGGTTGCAAGCAGTTTGTGTTATGGATTTTTACGCGAAAGGTCGATGTAACCTTTTCAATTCTGGCCTATGCTGTTCAAATCAAAATATAATCAACTACAGGCGAATCATTGAATTGAAGGAATCTCATGCGAGTAAATTGAGGGAGATTTTGGCAGTTATGCACTGAGTATTGAAAACCCCTGGTAAAATTTACTCAGTAAGAATTTTCATGCTTATGTTTCCTTGTCAAAGTTAATATTCTATTTTTCAAAATCTGAATATATTAAGTTTTTGGAGATATTAAGCAATATACAGTGTATTATAGCATGAAATTCAATTATTAAAAATTGTTAATTTGCATCGAATTTCATAATAACATCAAATTGTGACACATATATTTCGACGCCTCCGAAGAATAGTATGCTAAGTCTGAAAAGTAAGTTTTTCAGCAGAAGCTCTCAAAGTATGGAAGTTTCTTAAATCTTACGTGCCATGCTTAGTACATTTTTGCTTATAACTTTGGTTTGGATTGGCTGATGATTACCAAAATTTCAGAGAATTTAAATTAAGAACCGTAGTATCTAAAAACGTAAAGAACTTTAAAACATGCTAAGTCGACTTAGCATACTATGGTTCGGAGGCGTCGATTTGATTTTCTACTGAATTTCATTGGATGTTATTCGTAGCTTCAATATTCAATTTGTTCACATAAGTCACTGAGTAATTTTACTAAGTAACTTATCGTACAAACCTACTATTAGCTAAAGGCACTACTACTACTATTAAAAGTGAGAAAAAGTCACCATATATGCATTTATTTATATACAAATCCGAAGAAAGGGTTATTCCGAAGAACGATCTTACATCACATCTTTTATATCCGTTGTATATATTATATGACCGTAGTACTAGATTAGTTCTATTATGTAAACAGCTATAATGTTAATGCGAGAAATTAGTATATAATGTTGTCAAACTTTTGGGAGCCGTGATATTTTAATCAAATAAATTTGAGCTGTTAAACAGGATTGACCCAATTTGTGCCAACACTTCTTGAGAAATAGCAAATCATACATATATGAAGCGAAATGAATGGGCAATCTTTGTCATTTCAATTTCTCAACTATTAGTATATTCTTATTTTGTGTTACTTACTCAAATATACAGAAACACAGCAAACAAATAAAAATCTGTTAATCTATAGTTTAAATAAGTTCGTTGATAAAAAGAGAACTTAACTTTCTTCAAGTACTTTTCACATTTATAAAGTGAAACAATATATTAAATTCGATTAATAGAACATTCTTGTAGGTTCTGGCAAATATGGTTGCAATTGCTCTTTCTTTCAATAAATTGAAAATGTTTTTGATTTTCCTTCTATTGTAGTTGATAAAATATATAATATTTCTTCGTATGTAATTAAGAAACAAGCATCTTCGGGGAGACTCATTTATGTAAAAGTAGAGAATCAAAACACTCGGAGTGTACGGTACGCATGTTAATTAATTTATTGTCACCACGGGTTAGGTGCATGTAATATGCCGAGTTCAATTTGATAATGGTAGCAGGGTTGTATTTCAGATAACAGTTCATTGCACAAATAAGGTGTGGTTGGTTATACATACCTATTTGGTGGATTATATATAAAGAATAAGGTTTGACGATTATTTAGTATAACATTGATTGATTGAATACTAATATAAATATGTGAACCTCGTATTCAATAATACGTTATTCAATACGTTATTTATGACTCGAGGCTCAAATTATTTAACTCTTTAAGACCCATTATTTAACTCTTTAAGACCCAATGTTTTCCACAGGCACCTACTCATTCATCAGTTTTAGACTTATATAAAAATAATTATTATTTTTATATAAGTCGACTATGACAATTTGAATAATTATATGACAAACATTTTTGAACAAAACAACTTTGTGTGTAGAGTTCAATAAATTATTTAATTTACTTTCCAATTGAAATGTATGAAGTTCATCCTCAATATAATTTTGAACTCTTAAATAGAAGACCCTAAATCACATTGGACTATCTCTTCTCAAAGAAAATGTTCTGTTTATCTTAAATTAACTGTCGTAGCAATGTAAAATGCTATCTGTATATTATATAGTTACATTAATGGTGCCAAAAAGTGGAGAACTCAAATTTATAAAGGAAACATCGAAAACATTTTCGATTAATTGAATATTACTGTAGGTTCTGGAACAGAACATAAATGTGTGAAAAATAGTAATTCTATGATCAAGCAATAAAAACGGGCACATCAAAAATTTTCAACTTCTTGTGAAAATCTTATCTAGATTTTGAATATGTACGTGATTTGTTTTTAATATGTACCAAATATCGGACTGTTATTTCATAAAGTGAATGTCGCGTAATTCCAAGCAAAGTTTATTTATATTTATGTCAAATTTCTGTAATAACTACCATTGACTTTCAATATCGCTCGTTAGCTGC